TTTTTAATGGTATCAATTATATTATACTAGCTTACCCCGTCCGCTTCGCTGGACGAATAATACTCTCAAAGCAAATATATTTAATCTATTTTTATTGATCTTAATAAAATATAACTACAATTCCTTTTGTCATAAATCGTATTATAAATTTTATTCGATGAAAATTTTCTTTCACGGCAACCAAAAATTAACAATGTGGCCAAGGTTATCCAAAATGTGTGTCAAAATAATCAACATTTCGTCAACAGTTAATAAAGAAACATAATTTTCTTTAAAATTCAACACAATTGATGCAATGAACGGGTGAACATTGTACCGAATCGCCAATGAATGGACTTGATTTTCATTGATTCCAGATTGATTATTCCGATTTTGGATTGCATACTTTAAGAAGAGAATGCACTCTGACACCAGCTCGATTTCATGGAATTGATCATGTGCCACTTCATATAGCGATAAGAAATACCGAACGAACCGCTCAGAAACTCCACATCGCTCGGCGATAATAGAAATCATCTGATAGTAAACGAAGACCAAAATACGAATAAATTTAGAAAGTTTCATTTTGCAATAAGTTCCACTCAAAAAATCCTCATTATGAAATGAACCACACGTCGTTAACTCAAAAAGAATGAAAAATAAATAATTTTCTTACGATTTGCTGTCTGTATGTCACGAATCGCCACCTCAGATGTGAAATTGAGTATGTGCACGGTTTTGATGCGAGTCACTGGCAATAAAACGGCTGACAATAATTTCTGATTGTGATTTACACAGCAAATGCGATGCTACTCCGTGTTTTTGCGCTCAATAAAAGCCACTCTGATGATGAAAAAATACAAACAGATTTAATTAACACTCAAAAATCAAAAAAAAATTCAACAAACGCGATTGTTTAACCAAAAAACTGAAAAAAGAATGAAAAAAAAAATTAATTTCTTACGATTTGCTATTTGCAACACGTACCACCAACTCAGTTGTGAGGTTGTGTATGTATGCGGTTTTGGTGCGAGTCACTGGCAGTAAAACGGCTGCGATAATTTCTGATTGTGATTTGCACAACAAATGCGATGCTATTCCGTGTGTTTGCGCTCAATAAAAGACACTCTGATGATGAAAAGATACAAATTGTAAATCAATTGTCAAAATAAAATCAACAAACGCGATTGTTTAACCAAAAAACTGGAAAAAGAATGAAAAAATAAATTAATTTCTTACGATTTGCAATTTGCAACACGTACCACCAGCTCAGTTGTGAGGTTATGTATGCAGCCGGTCTCGATTCAAATCACTGACACAGTTGAAACAGCTATCAATTTTCTTCCAAGTGTGATTATGAATGCGCGAATAACAAACACGAATCGATCAAAACTAACAATTTGAAATTGAAAAGAACATATTGTAAACGCGAAATAAAAAAAATAATCGAAATCGGAATGGAAAAAAAATATTTACTTAGTTCCGTTGAATCCAGTTCAACACCAACACCAACACACAACGATTGCGATGTTGCTCCGTTGTGTTTACGCTCAATAGAACACACTCTGACGATGAAAAATTGCAAACAGATTTAATTAACACTCGAAAAATCATAAAAAAACTTGAGAAACACAATTATTTCACCAAAAAAATGAAAAAGAATGAAAAAGTAAATTAATTTCTTACAATTTGCTATTTGGAACATGAACCACCAGCTGCGATAACAATTTGTGTATGCGCGCAGTTCCAATTCTTGGTACAGCAATTTTCGCAATTAAAACAAAATTCAATGCAATCTGACAATGAAAAATATCGATTAATTTTCACTTAACACTCAGACTGGACAAAATAATTGAAAAAAACGATATTCACTTACAATTTATTGATTGCAACGCAAAACTGGCACACAAATTGTATCAGAATAAACTATTCCGCACGAATTCCACTTGCTAAATGCCAAATGCATCAAACACGCAAAGAAAACCGAATCACACAGCCGCACAACATATGATCCGTTATGTGTATTAGTAGCGTCAGTCGGCACGTGACATTAATACTCAAACGTGATTGGCTATTCAAACGTCGTTGGTTTTTGTGACAGTGTCGCCAACGTTTCAACAGCCAATCACAATGGAGTATTAATGTCACGTGCCGACTGACGCTACTAATACACATAACGGATCATATGTTGTGCGTCTGTGTGATTCGGTTTTCTTTGCGGGTTTGGTTACAATACACACTGAATTTTGCACTGGCATTTACACTGTTCACACAAACACAGAGCAAAATCGTATGACGATTTGCTGAATATAAAGCGAATTCAGAAAGGCGAATTCACAATAAGGAACTCACATTATTCGCTTTTTATTCCATTGAAAATATTTTAATTCATTAAAATAAAATAAAATTGAATTAATTTTATTTATTTCCATTTATTTTAACATATATTTTGAAAGAAAAAGACAAAAAAACCATTTCCATACAAAACCATACAAAACCATACAAACGGATTACACCAACAACAATAAGCCACACACAGCCGTCAAACGAACGATGAGTGCATTTCCCCTCCATATTCCCCTTTCACACTCGTTTCGTTCGTCCGACGGCTGCGTGAGACATATTGTTGTTAGTGTAATCCGTTCGTATGGATTTGTATGGAAAAGGTAAGGTTTCCACATTTTTGCTCACAAATTTTTTTTTTTTGAATTTTTTTAAATTTTTTTTTTTCAAAACCATCTACGAAACAATACCTTCCTCCTACAAAAAGAAATTCAAAAAAAACTCCACCCGTTTTCACAGGCATAAGCCTCAACGCCAAAACGTGCTACTCTTTTATATATATAGATCATATCATTCGTTTGATCTATTTTAGGAATTTCTCTGTGTATTTCATCTTATAAGTGCTCCGCTTCTCCTTCTCTTGTTGTTCGCTTCTCCTTCTTTTGTCGTTTTACTGTTGTTTCTTTAGTTTAATTTTTGATAACTTCTAAAAGATGGTATGCAGTCGCAAAGCATTGTCAATAAATAAAGTCTGATATAGCCGAATTCCAATTCACTATAATATTTTTCTTCTTCATCAATATAGCGCTGCTTTTCCTTCAATAATTCGATGCAAGTCCTCAAGTTTAAATATCCACGATGTTCTTTTATTGCATTGGCAATTCGCTTAAGCGTGCTACTCATAGCCGAATGTATTTCAGACGGTTCTATATTATCTTCACAATTCTCAAGTCTCAATCAATATATTACTTTCTTTTGCTGTACCCAATATGTTACTTACTTTGATGTGTTTGACTTTATGCCTTTTTCAACTAACTAATTTTGATTGTAATACAAGCAATTTTTAGCTGTACCCGATATGTTACTTACTTTGATGTGTTTGACTTTATGCCTTTTTCAACTGACTAATTTTGATTGTAATACACAACAGCATATTTATACTTCAGAGCACATTTGGAATTGCCCTTCCCTCCCAGAATTACAACTCAAGGCAATCCACATTAAATTTTGATTGATTTACAAACTTCACATGAGTCTCTGCACAAGGTCAGGTAATGTTTTTCTGTTTTTTTTTTGTCTGTTGTTCAATGCCCTAATTACGTAAATTGTCGAAAAAATATTCATGCATATCGTCGATTCATTTACATGTAAACGTGTTCTACCAAACTATTTCTGCGTGGAGAGGCATAAGTCGATGCGAGCAACGAAGTGCTTCATTCCAACTGCTTCAAGTTTGTAGAAGAAAAATACACAACATTTTAAAATTTTACAAAGATTACAGCATATCAGGTTATATTGCAAAAGACTAATAAGCGTACGCAATCAACTCAACAGTTCCCTGATTCAATCCAAAATCCGAATGACCAAACTAATTCCAACCTTGACCTCTTCTCTTCAACATACATATGTATTTAATTCACATATTTCATTTGAATGTTGTCATGACGTAACCTAATTTCAAAAACCTCTTGTAATGTGCTTGGGTAAATATAATCGAATTCACTATAAATAGATAGACAAAAACTGCAACGTCAGTCAATCCAAAATGGAAAAACCATTGGAGAGTTTAATAATCATCATCAGTTTCATGTTATATTTAAGGAAACTGATGGAATTGATACAGAAGTATGTCAATAAAAGTAAAACAGACTTTGAAGTCTGATATTCGGTCCCAAATTTGTCTACTTCATACGCAACCCAAAGCGATGTATATGCATATGCTAGGCTTGGAATTAACTTATCGGCCAAAGTTTCCATTCTCTTGTTGGTCTGTTCTTCTTCTAAAGATGGATCAGATGTTATCGATCTGAGATTTCTCACGTTAGACCGCAGGAACAATGGTTTGCTATGGATTCTTAATTGTTTCGGAATAGCTGTAAAGAAGGCTGAAAAAATAAAATGCGTAACAAAAGAGACGGATGGTTTTTTTGGTTTTATAAATTGAAATGAGAATAAAGTTTATTCGGAAAAAGAATACAAATTAAATTGAATTGAATTTTAAATATCGTCGGCACATTGAATTATATATTCGTAAGATTCTGCTCTCAATCCTCTTCTAATAAACTCGTACTCGGACCTGTTGAAGATCACGTGAATAGTATCGCCTGGCCACAGCTTAACCGAGTCCGTTGCAACCGAAGCATTGTTGACGAAAACACCGTATTCTGATGTGTCAATTAAGTTGACATTGTAGCCATCCACAACAATTGAGCAATGTTCCTTGTCGCACAAAATAGAATCGATGTGTATGTCCGATCCAACAGCTCTTCCGAATTTTGTTATTCCATTTTTTAATGGTATCAATTATATTATACTAGCTTACCCCGTCCGCTTCGCTGGACGAATAATACTCTCAAAGCAAATATATTTAATCTATTTTTATTGATCTTAATAAAATATAACTACAATTCCTTTTGTCATAAATCGTATTATAAATTTTATTCGATGAAAATTTTCTTTCACGGCAACCAAAAATTAACAATGTGGCCAAGGTTATCCAAAATGTGTGTCAAAATAATCAACATTTCGTCAACAGTTAATAAAGAAACATAATTTTCTTTAAAATTCAACACAATTGATGCAATGAACGGGTGAACATTGTACCGAATCGCCAATGAATGGACTTGATTTTCATTGATTCCAGATTGATTATTCCGATTTTGGATTGCATACTTTAAGAAGAGAATGCACTCTGACACCAGCTCGATTTCATGGAATTGATCATGTGCCACTTCATATAGCGATAAGAAATACCGAACGAACCGCTCAGAAACTCCACATCGCTCGGCGATAATAGAAATCATCTGATAGTAAACGAAGACCAAAATACGAATAAATTTAGAAAGTTTCATTTTGCAATAAGTTCCACTCAAAAAATCCTCATTATGAAATGAACCACACGTCGTTAACTCAAAAAGAATGAAAAATAAATAATTTTCTTACGATTTGCTGTCTGTATGTCACGAATCGCCACCTCAGATGTGAAATTGAGTATGTGCACGGTTTTGATGCGAGTCACTGGCAATAAAACGGCTGACAATAATTTCTGATTGTGATTTACACAGCAAATGCGATGCTACTCCGTGTTTTTGCGCTCAATAAAAGCCACTCTGATGATGAAAAAATACAAACAGATTTAATTAACACTCAAAAATCAAAAAAAAATTCAACAAACGCGATTGTTTAACCAAAAAACTGAAAAAAGAATGAAAAAAAAAATTAATTTCTTACGATTTGCTATTTGCAACACGTACCACCAACTCAGTTGTGAGGTTGTGTATGTATGCGGTTTTGGTGCGAGTCACTGGCAGTAAAACGGCTGCGATAATTTCTGATTGTGATTTGCACAACAAATGCGATGCTATTCCGTGTGTTTGCGCTCAATAAAAGACACTCTGATGATGAAAAGATACAAATTGTAAATCAATTGTCAAAATAAAATCAACAAACGCGATTGTTTAACCAAAAAACTGGAAAAAGAATGAAAAAA